AGCATGGGTTGTTAGACATTTCCGCCCATGGCATACAAAAGCTTCACAAAAGTCACAGATTGCTCCAACCATTCCCATACCTAGAAAAACGTGAACATCTTAATTTACGGTAGCCCAGGCATAGTCTGGTATATAGCTAAACTCACCAGTAGTGAATTTCCCTGGATGTTTGACGACACAATCACCAGTTTTTGCCATGCATTTCTGCTTCCCACATTGAGCGCAGACAGGTAGCTTACTGATGGCTGAGCAAAAATAACAAAAGGCTCGTGATTTCTGATCTCGAAGGCATTGGTCGCATTGCTAAAAAATCGTTGAATCAAAAACAAGGTCATACCAAAAAACACCAAACCAAACCATTTGAAAATTGCACGGATGCTCTGCTAAATCTCGCTCGCCACTTCGGATCTTTTTCTGGAGTTCACGCTGCTTTTCGGCTTTTTTCCGTTGCCCTGTCTTCTTCTTCGGCATGCTCTAAGAATGTAAGTCTGGCGATAACAACACTGATATTTGATGAGGACTTGTTTCTTGCAAGAAAAAGAGCTGAAAGCACCTCCAAACGCTATCACAAGCCAAGAAAAAAGTTGATTTCAAAAAAAGTGGCTTTGAAGTGAACAAAGCTCTTGATTTTAGGAGCGCTACCTTCGATAAAATACATTTTCGCGTGTTGCAACTGACAAAATGGAGAAGAACATGCACTATGAGAAAAGAATCTATAAGCTAATGAAAGGTTTTGTAGGCTAGCAAACACTTGTTTTAGAAAATATAAGAAGCAGAATGAACTGTTTCTTGCATTTCTTGTACTGAATTTTTGATGAAGTATTCTCGAATCACTGATTCAGACTACGATTGCTTATGGTATCCTTGTTTTTCGCTACACCATTTCAAACAAAAAAAGGTTATCGAATTTAGCAGCCGAGCATATACTCGTCATATGTAGCGTTTCCTCTGACACTATTTCGGCCCAAAATTTTCATTACTTACTTAGTCTCCAATTTTTACTCCTTGCAAATCACTTATTCCTTCTTGAAACTTGCAAAGTTCTAGAAACTCGGAGATAGCAAGTTTGATGA